TTAGATTTAGGTCAAGAAGAAAAGTGAGTGTAAGTTATATCATCTATAAATTTCATTTCAGATTAAGATGGAATTACAAAATAGTTGCCTTAGAAAGGTGGGTATGGGGTCTGAAAGACCCCAGAAGAACTTGTAGCTCACATATCTGTTATGTATGAATATGAAATATTTCAAGGAACCAGGGCCCTTTTTCTTATGTTTTGGGTGTTGGCCCTGAAGTTTTAAAAACCCCTGACACTTTGGGGAGACTCTTCTACTGGAATCTGTGGTAAACCTCTGATTTCCAGGTGCTGAGTGTAAGGCGACCTCCTTCAGGCCACGGGGTGAGTCATTCCGGTGGGAATATGTGTGCTAAGCCAGGTGGGTTGGTGGAGGCATTTGCGAATGATTTTTTTTATACCTGTTTATTATCAGTGTGGTGGTTATTTATTTGCTCCTGGTTCCTGTCCTGTCATTTAGACCTTTGATACAAGGATGGTCTGTCACGCATCATTGTGAACTCCTGCTCAGCCGGAGCGGTCTGTTTGGCTGGGATGAGCCCATGAAGCACCTGGTGCAGACTGCAAACTGACTCTGCCCCCTCTGCCCTTGTGTTGCAGCTCCTCGGGCTTCTTCCTCGTTTCTGTGTGCATGGGGTCTGTGGCTCCAGGGGATAAGGTGCGTTAGTGACCATACATCTCAAGACCACTCTCCCCTTGTTAGCCTCCCTTGATGAGCGCCATGGACAGCCCCTGTGTCTGTGTCCTTGCAGGCACAGGCACCGTGACTCCATTCTCCCCCACCTTGCTCCTCTGGGTGACCAGGCTCTTCCCCTCAGGAATATCTTCACACCACGTCAGCCTCTCTCACCTCTCCCACAAACACTGCACACACCCCCTGCTCAAGTTCAGTTTTTCCATGTCCATCCAACAGCGCAGACCTCAGATTCAGCTTCCTCCGAGAACAGCTGGCCGAGTTGCTGTGGTCTATGATGGTTCCTACATACGGGTCTTCATTTCAAACAAACACACATCTTGGTGGCTTTTCTCTGTGCTCCTGCAACTGACCTGCAGCTGGGCCGAGTGAGGCCACCCTCCTTTTGGTCCTATCTGCCCACCACAAGAATAGCAACCCTACTGGGCCTGTCTGGGCAGTGCCCTCACCACCTCGGGGTACCCTGAGAGCCATGAGCAGGGTCCCCTTCCCTCAGGGGGTGTGTCCTGTGGTCAGGTTCTGTGCCTTCCTGGGCTGCCCCAAGGTAGGTAAGCACCCCAGCTGCAGGGCACTGTGAGCTAGGTAAGCACCCTGTGTCTGTCATCTCAACCAGTCCTCACTGCAACCTGGCACAGCCTGTGCCTGCCTCATTCCACAGACGTCAGAAAAGCTGGGTGACCGCTAGAGCTGACCCAGCAGCAAGTAGTGATGCCTGCCCAAGGGCCTCTCCTCTTCTGCCCTTAACTCTTGTCCCCTGGCACCTTACAGCTTGCTTCAATTCATGCTTCTGAGGGTGCATGAGGCGGAGAGCATCCTGGGGTGTCACTGAATTCATTTGATGCGCACAAGGGCAAATGAAGAATCAAGTAGACTCCCGTGTTCCCAGAGTGTCCCATAAAGGGCATCACTGTTTTTTAGTTCAAATCACCCGATAGCTTGTGGCCCAAAATCATGCAAAGGCAAAAACCCAGTGAGCAGAGCCAGATCCGACTGTGAAATCTTTGTTCTGATGTTCTCGTGTCACAGTGACTCCCTTCCTGTGGAGCCATACATGCCAACACCCTGTGCCCAGTGAGCCCTGGCCCATTATCACTGCGTTTTCATTGATTTTCCTTTCTTAGCCTGAACTCTCGTACTCTTTGTTCTGGAGAAAGAACACAGATTGTTTTATAATGCTGGTTCAGATAAACTTGACCCTTGGAAAGTTTATCTCTTGAAGAACAGAAATGTACTGATGTGTTTGTTCTGCCAGGAATTGTTGTCTCTGTGTCCTCTGGCAGGTCCTGGAGGCCACTATGCCTCCACAGCCACAAGCTCACCTAGGGTGCAGACTGTGGTGGTGGCTGTTAGTGCTCTTCCCTGCAGAGACGGGAATTTCTTGGCCAGGACAGTGTGGGTGTGGAATGCCTTATCGTGCCACAACATAAAGAGCGATTAAAAAGAAGAACATCAAAAGCTCACAGGCCTGCTTGAGGGGCTCCCACTGGCCGAACCTGCACAAGTGTAGCACCAGAACAGTAAAGAAATGACTTACAAGCCATTGGAAGAGAAACAGAACCCTGCATTCATTAGTGATGATCAAAGGGATAGATGGAAGAGAAGGGGGGCTCTTACTCACAGGACTGGTAAATGTGGAGGGGTGCAGGAGATGGGAAATTATTTGTAGCCATCCCCTTGAGGACTGATTCAGGCAAGAAGCTTGGAAGGATGCTAAGCCCAAGGGGAGTTTGAGGACCAGAGTCTGTGTGGTTTTCTGGTGCTTCCCTGGACTGCTGATCCCTATATATATTGCTGAACCAATAGCTACTGTGCGCAGAGGGATGCCGGGGCTCTCACCGAGTAGTGTCTCCAGGCAGGACGCCTAGCAGGGCAGCAGCACTAGTGTAGTCTACTGACCAGAAGTGCGGACAAGCAGGGAGCACCTGGCAGTCCCCCAGTGAGGGTGGTTCTGTTAAGGAAGGGAGAGGAGGGCTCTTCTTCAGCATGTGATGCCACAAAGTTCAACAAGGGCTGTGGGAATGTTCCAGACTGCAGGTGGCCGGGGAGACAGGACCACTGTCAGAAGTGGAAGAGCACAGGCGGGAGCACAGGCAGAGTGTGTGCAGTGACCTTGGTGAAGGTGGCACCTCAGTCCCGTAAGGACCACCTCAGTTCTGAGGAAGCATATTCTAGGGGAAAGATCAGATGAACACAGCTTACTCTCAAGTGGTTTAGGAAAGTTCATGTATAAATGTGAACCGTGGGCCACCTGGGTTGAGGGGGATAAGGATGTTTTTTGAGCAATTGTTTTTCTTAGAACTTTTCTATAATTTTGAAATTCATTCCATATATATTTAAATGAACTCCTGTGTGGCACACTATTGTTCTTGGTATTGAACAGGATTGAGACAGAAAGGTAATTTTAGCCAATAACCTCAATTTCCTTGTATGTGCTTAAAAGTTATGTAAAGGGATTACTTGAATTTCCCTGCTTCCGATTTTCATAGCACCTCTGCTGGAGGGCAATTCAATAGCTGAATGTTTTCTGTAGATAGGAAAGGCATAAAGCATAGTTTTCAGATTGCCCTGGATTGTGAAGAATATATAAAATATCCCATGGCTTCATCTGGGTAGATTCTGAATTCCAGGAGGTAGAGTTGGTTGGACTTTTCAGGTTTCCTTCACCAGGATCCAGCATGCTGCTTATTATATAGCATAGATCAAATATTTGCTGAATGAATACGTGGATCATTCTAAACTAAGACTTGAAACTTGTAAGATAATATTTCTTCAGGATTTGAAGTGATTCATAAAATTAGGTGAAAATGATTCTGATATCTGAGATGTGCTTTCTAATGTGAAAAAAGAAAAGATGTCTGAATGAAGAGATTTCCACTAGCTTTTCTTCTAGGGCTTATTAGAACCTTCCTGTCTACAGCCAACAAAGGCTTATGCTTAAAAGAGAAGAAGAAAAAAGAAAAAAAAAAGAAAAAGAAAAACTTGGAAGAAAACCCAAGATCTATACATGTTTCTTGTTCTAAATATTTTCCTAAATCATCTAACCTCCCTGAGCCTTTCACTTTCTAAATAGACTCCTATTTACTCTTCTCATAAAATAAGAGGATAATCAAATAGCTTGTGTGTGTGTGTGTGTGTGTGTGTGTGTGTGTGTGTGTGGTGCTGGGGATAGAACCCAGGGCCTTGTGCATGCGAGGCAAGCACTCTACCAACTGAGCTATGTCCCCAGCCCTCAAATAGCACTTGGAACACATTTGGGGAAAAAATGATTTATTGCTGTTTTGATTCTGTAAGATTGAGAGGTCACATCTTTAAACTGCTTACTTACTTAGGAGTTTGTTATGAGAGAAAACTCAGAGTGGAAGCTACCAGTGGGAGGGATGGCGGGGACTGACACAAGCATGAACTCAACCTAAGGAGGAGTGGGTTCTGAATCGGAGCCCAGGGAGGGTTCTGACAACCAGTCTCAACTAAGAGTCTTCTATGAACAGGCTCCTGGTGGGAAGGATTTGATCATATGCACTCCTTCAGGTGTTTGTGTGGAGCAGTGTTTGTCATGTGCTGGAAGGAGTCGTGTTTATCACTGAAGAGGCACAGCGGCCACACCTAAGCAGGTGAGAGGCAGTGGCAGAAAGGAGGGAATCCAGGGGCTGTGTGCTGTGGCAGAGGTTGGCACCAGATCTAGGAGATCCCAGGCCAAGCAAAGATGAAGTAGGTGCTCTTGAAATGTAGTATTTGAGATATAACACAATTTCTCTCCCTCTCTCCCTCTCCCCCCTCCCCCTCCCTCTCCCCCCCCCTCCCCTAGGGATTGAACCCAGAGGTGCTTTACCTCTGAGCCACGTCCTCAGCCCTTCTTATTTTTTATTTAAAGACAGAGTCTCACTAAGTTGCTTAGGGCCTCTCTAAGCTGAGGCTGGCCTTGAACTTGGGATCCTCCTGCCTCAACCCCCTGAGTTGCTGGGATTACAGGTGCCACCACTCCTGGCTTATCATAATTTCTTTCCAAAGGAGAGCTAGAGTTGACCAAAGTCGAGCCCTTCTCATGCACACTTTCCATGGGAAGTCCAGTCTGTTATAGTTTTAACAGATATTTGAAGCCATCTCGCGACACAGGATCTACGGCGAGCAGGACTAGCCTCCAGAAGGATCAGGCTTAACGTCTGGGTTTTGCCTTTATGTCACGGCTTTTTAAGGTCCCAGTTTCTTCTCTTGTAAAATAACAGTCAGTAATTAGCGGACTTTTGTTGCACAGGAGTGGGTTAAGAGAAACAAGCTCGACAGCTTGTGTTTAAAAAAAAAAAAGGGAAGAAGTAGAAACTTTTTTTTTATTAGTTGCTCAAGACAATACAATGATCTTGACATATCAAACATTTGATTCAAATGGGGTATGAATTCTTATTTTCCCACGTGTACAGACTGCAGGATCACATTGGTTATACAGCCACGTTTATACATAGGGCCATACTAGTGTCCGTTGTATTCTGCTGCCCTTCCTATCCCCCCTTCCCTCCCCTCCCCTCACCTCTCTCTACCCAATCAGAGGAAGAAACTTTTAAAGCCAGGAATTGCCATTCTCTGTCTGGAGCTCAATATTTGCCCTCTCTTCCTCCTGAAGTTAGACTCTGTGGCATCAGCTGTGCATTCAGGGACAAGTTCACTCAGGAGACGGAGTCCAGCTTTCTGTCTGTTTCTCACTATTTTAAACCACGTGGTATTAAACCCCAAGGATTTAATTTGACATCTCTTGAGATCCTTAGTAGGTCTTGAAAAGGTGACCTACAGTGTTGCCAAAACTGTGTGTTAGGCCTGACATCGAGGGGCCTTCCTGGGGTCACAGTATACCTGCAGCACCCTGTGGACATGAGGTGGATGGTGAGACCCCCCAGGCCGTTTCAACTTTAAGCAGTGTCCACCTCACCTATTTTGCATACTAAAGGGATCCGCCGTGTCCAGAACACCACACTGGGAATGACAAACTCTATCCAACATAGATATTGGCTTGTTTGATTTCTCTCACATTATATTTTTCTTGCCTTTGATTTATTCACATATCATCGTTCTGATCACAAGTCATAAGAGTCTAAGCTGAGGCTGGCCTTGAACTTGGGATCCTCCTGCCTCAACCTCCCGAGTTGCTGGGTTGTTGTTCAAACCTTCCCGCAAGGGCCTGCACCCAACATTGCTAAGTGTTTGGGGTATAAATGCTGCAGGGGTATTGCCTGCAGCCACCCTGCTCCTGCCACCTTGGTGTTGGTCCTTGGCACCCTGCCATCCATCAGATCTTCCTCCCGTGTCCCCTACTCAACTCTGCATCCTTTGGGGGTAACCCTTTCAGGCTGCATGTCCCAAACTCTCAGAGCAGCTGATTTGTCCAATGGGACAACAATAGGCGACAGGACAGAGAGGGAGGGAAAGCCAGTGTTTTTCCTCTCTGCATTTGGCTCCATGTCCCAGTTAGTTGTGGCATCATGTCTGTGGTCTGAACTTCTGTCTGCTAGTCCTGCTGTGGTCCCCACCTCCACCAGGTGACCCTGCACCCTGTGCTCCAGAAGCCCTTCCCTCCACCCAGGAATGGTGTTTTGTCATTAATCTCTGGCTGAATCTTTGGTTTGGTTTCTCTGCTCTTCTGTCACCTGCGTAACCAAATCCTAACTTAGATTCCTTCTGTTTTAAATGCTGGAATGATCCGTGTTTCTCAAGTTGGATGTTGAGTAATAAGGCTCTTGTCTAGGCTGCCCACCTGTTTGAGCACAAGAGATAGTGTTCTTGCAGATGGAGGAGGGGTCCTGGAAACTTGCACAGAGTTGCATCACGATTGCCACATCATCACTGACTTGCCTGGGCTGAAGGGCTGGCCAGGGTCAAGGCTTCGGGAGACCAAATACAGGCGGCCTTTGACTGATGTTCCAGCCATGATGGTCACAGGATGACGGGATATCTTATTATCCTGGAGCGTTTCAGAAAAACAGTGGTGATTCAGAGCTGCACAACTCCTGGTTCAAGGCACAAATGTTTCCAGATATTAGTCTTAAAACTGTCATGGATCACTAGAAGCACCAGGCAGGCATTGATGGGCATCTGGTGGGTGTGTAGTGTGGTTACATCAACAACAACATTCTTATACCCTTAGGACTGGCGTCAGGGGGGACGAGGTGGACAGGAGATGGGAAGAGACATCTGAGGAGCCTGTGGAGCTGAGAACCCAACACTCTGCCCCAATCCCTCTGGGAGGGAGGATTTCAAGGTTTCCCTCCCCAGCAGGCAGGTTCTTCCACCGACAAGTCTGCTGATTTTTCACCCCAGGCTATCTATTCTGGAAGAGATCCTCTGGGTCTTATACTGAGTAGGATGCCAGGTAGCTTTGGAGTGGACCACACATGGTCTGGACACACTCATGGGAGACTCAAGATTTAGTGCCAGATGAAGCAGCATGCGATGGCTCTCACCTGTTGGTTCAATGAGAAACCTATGGGTGCAGCGGAGGCCGACTCCACTGAGCTCAGCGAGACTGCCACCTCATCATAGCCTGAGCCAGTCAGCCCTGAGAGTGAGAGGTGAAGGAGACGCCCCAAAGGCAGAACTCTGGGGAGGGTGCCTGTTGGTTCCCTTTGCCTGGGGGACATGGCCAGGGCTGGGATTCACCCTGATTCGCAGGCAGTGGCTCAAGCTCTGCAGTGTTCGTGGGTTTTGAACCCTGGTGGCCAGGGTGGGCAGCTGCCAGAGCTAGTGGCAAGCTGACTCCCTGGGACTCGTCTGCTCACACCCTTGCTGGTTCATCTGTGGCTGCAGGCATCCTTTTAGGATTTACCTTTATAGTTCATTTTCTGTTGCTAATGACACAATAACAGGGACTTGGTGAGTTGTGAAGAAAGGATATTTAGGGCTGAGGTTGTGGCTCAGTGGTAGAGCACTTGCCTAGCACATGTGAGGCACTGGGTTCGATCCTCAGTACCACATTAAAAAATTACAATAAAGGTATTGTGTCCATCTACAACTAAAAAAAAGAAAGAAAAGAAAGAAAGAAGGTTTATCAGGGCTCACAGTTCTAGAGGCACAAGGTTGAGGGCCAGCCTCTCATGATGGTCTTCTTGAGGCAGTGTCCTGAGGTGGCACAGGAAGTGTGCACATATATCTCTCCTGTCTCTTTTCCTTTTCCTATAAAGCCACTAGGATTTAGTCATGGGCTCCACCCTAATGATCTTATGTAACCCTAATCGTCTCCCAAAGGCCCACCTCAAAACAGCACAGTTGAATTAAGTTCCCACCCATTCAAAATCTCCCAGTGGGGATTAAATTTCAACACAAGAAGCCTCGGGGTCACTGAAACCATGTCCAAACCACAGCACCTTCCTGGACTGAAAAGCTTTCAGACTGCAGGCAGGCCTTGTGCAGTGCTGTGGTGTCCTGTGCACGGGACCCGTTCTCTGTACAAATGCACACCTACAGTGACGGGCATCACACCTTCCCACGCACCCCACAGGGCCCTGGAGGGAGAGGAGCAGTCCTGTCCGCTGAGGGGCAACACCCTAATGTTGGGATTGGCTCTCCAGGATAATACACATACCTGAGAGCAGAGACCACACAACCTCAAACCCGCGGCTGAGCGTCGTGTTCTCATTTCAGCGCCATAGTTTCATCCCTCTGGAAGCAAGATTCCCCACCTGACATTCTTGAGTTCCACGGGCCACTGATCCTAAATCCCAGATGGGGTGCTCTAAAGCTTTGGTTGGTTGATCCCACTTTTGAGAGGTATTGGGTTGCCACTCCCCAGTGGGGACAGGGAGGAGGATGACGGGGTGCCGGGAATTACTGAGATGCCTCTCATGCTCCATGTACTGTGCAGGTAGTGAGACGCTTCAGTAACCCGATAGATACGGGCTCACAAAGGGCCAGAACCCCGGGTAAAGAGCCCCGCAGCTGCAGGCACTGCCAAGGGAAGGAAGTGGAGGGGATGGGAGAAAAAGAAAGAGCTAATGCAGTTGATTCTCACCATGCACAGTTGTCTCCTGAAGTCTCCGTGAACACTGAGCAGTGACTGTGAACACTGTGCATAGGGTTACCTTCCTGGGAGCTTTTGTCACATGGTCGCCAAGTGCTCTAAAGGTAACCTTGTTTAATGGGTGCTGCTGGAAGTCCCCCATGCAGCAGATATCATCCATACCGAAGCACTGAACTGAGGACACAGAGTGCCCTAGCTCGGCCGGAATGAAGCTTCTATCTGAACATGTGCTTTTGCTCTAAGGCACATGCCTGTCTCTTTGTGCTCAGGAGCATTCACTAAGCAGCATTTGGCACTTCACTTGGGGACACTTTAAAAAACTGAATCACCACCACCACCAACAACAAAACCACAAAAATGTAAAAAACGTGGCACTAAACAGACTGAAAAAGAACACTTGTTTGCTATCTGAGCTGAAACAAGAGGGCGGAAGGGGAAGGTGTGGGTTGGGAAACACAACTCGCCGCTCTACGCATGTCCATGAATGACTGTGGAATTCTCTAAGAACTGATTTGGGGCTTACAGGTAAGTTTTATTGAGTGGGTAAATTTGCAACACGAATTCTCAAACAAGGATTGACTGCATGACTTTGGCTTTGTGACCAGCTGCCGTTCAGACTGGTGGCACCAGGGCCGTGCCCTTGCTTGTCCCTCTGCCCTGCTGGTCCCTCTGGTTCTAGCAAGCCTACCCCCAGGGCTTCACTGATTGGTTGTTAGTCCTGCAGGAGGGGTGTGCATGTCCCCTCCCTCGTAGGGGTGGGACCTCCACCTGTGCAGTGGCCCACTTCTGCTGTGGAGGTGTGAGTTATAATTGGCCCTAAGGATTAAAGGGGTCACCAGGCTGGCCCTGGGCCTGTCAGCAGTCATGTGTACCTCCTGCCTTCTCCGCTGTGTTGTTCCCAGGGCCAGCCATGTGGCCCAAGGAGCAAGGCGAGGCACAGTAAGAAGGGGACAGGGACTGAGCCCGGAGTCCTAGGTGAGGCCCAGCAGTTCTCTTCCCACGGCAGACGTCTCTAGCACACCAACTTACCTTCAGGGAAACCTGCCTGTCCTCAAAACCAGCACTCAAGATTTCAAAAACTATTTAAAAAATAAGTATGCAAAAAAGGAAAAGTCCTCTTTTGTCTGGTTACTAAATCGGCAACCGTTTTGAACTCTCCCTCCAACGCCATGTGGTATCTCACCCACACCTGGAGCTAGGCAGCATCTGTGGGCTAGCCTCGGCCCACAACTGGCATGGACACTCTTCTTTGTTTATAAAAGTGTATTTTGAGCTCAGAACACACACCAGTTTTCTGTTTCTGAGACTCAATAATTTTTCTTCTTTGTCAGGAACATCTTAGGACAAAATGCTATTGACAGATATCAGATTTAGCAAATAAAAATAGAACATTTCCAGTTCAAGTTGAATTATGGGTAAGCAATGATTTTTTTTTTTTTTTTTTTTTAGCATAAGTGTATCCCATATAATATTTGCCTTATAGATATTTTGGGAACACTTATATGAAAATCTCACTTGTTGTTTACCTGACATTCAAATTAAGCTAAATATCTATATTTTACCCCTAATTTAATCAAACAAAATCATCCAGAGTCACTTATGTTTTTAAAAATCATTATTTCTTTATTGAACAGTCTTTTCTGCAATACAGCCAGCAAGAACCATGATACCCTTTGGAAGTTTATTTCTTTTCACTGTTTGGTATTACAGACAAATTAATGGCTAAAAAAGCATTTGCAAGTCAAGTATTTACAATTGCATTGACCTTCACAGGAGAGAGCTTTATGAGATGGATAGTTTGGGGAGCAAGGGATCTGTGAATCCCAAGAGAAGAGGGGTTTTCTCTCTATCTATCTGTTATTTCTCTGTGTGTGTGGGTGGGGGGAGGTAATGAGCATGTGTGTTTCAAACACTGTCTGTAGAAGAGGCCAAAGGACACATGCCCTGTGGGATGCAGCTGTCCAGAGCTGCCTTTGTGCTCCGTCCTTGAAACCCTCAGAACTTCGGAACAGGGAGCAACTCAGCTCGGCCACCTTTGGGCACAGGAGAACCCAGTGTGTCCACCACTCAGCTTCTGCAAGTTCCCTCTTTGCTCTCTTGACCTTTTATTCATTTCATTTTGAAATGAAAGCAGCGTTTCCAACTTTGCCTATCTATGTTTTGGGCATCTGTGAAGCTCTGAAGTTGGGGTAATGCCATGTTTGATCCCCTGGGGGAAAGGCTGAGCTTGGAAAACTGTCACTAAGCCTCCACATGAAGTTAGCTGAACGGAAGAGAAGCTACAGATAGGGCAGCAGCGGGAGGTCAGCTCAGGCAAGGGAGGAGGCAGGTCTCTGTTGACTCCTGCTGGTTTTCACTACATTCCAGGGAGGCACTGCATAGTTAGGGAGCTCTACCAGCTGAGCATCCCATAGAGGCAGGAAGAGAGGTCTCCCACAGACAGCCAGGATGAGGGCCTTGGAGAAGGACGTGGGGAGGGGGACATCATGCCAACCTGAGAGGAGACAGCGGGTGTGAGACATCCTGTGGCTCGTGCTTCCTGCCAGCGATAACCACAGGCCTCCTTCTGAGTCAGAACACCTGCCTCTGTTCTCACAGCTGCACCCACAGCAGCCGCAGAGGCCCTCCCTCAGTCACCCTTGCCCCTACCCCTAGCAACGGCCGACCACAAAGCAGACACCTAAACTGTAAGGTATTGGAAAGGCCCCCTCTTTCCAACAGACAGGTCAAACTGCAAGGATGGACCCATCCTCTTAATTATGTAAATAGGGGATTATACACTTCTGATTGGCTTGGCGCTTGAAGAGCTTGACTGGTCCATGCTGGCATCCCTCACCCCACCAATCACCTGCACTGGGCCATCAGATAGGCCTTTAGAAACCCCTGGACAACAGACACCTTGGGCAGCCCTCTCAGAACCTTTCCCCTCAGGAGCTCTGCTTTCTTTCTATTCCTCTAAAAAATCCTGTAACTTTGCTCTCACACTTGGGCCCTGGGGTTTCATTCCTTGAATCAGGAGACAAAGGACCTGACTGCCTAACTCCACATCACACTGAGGGTCCAGCTGAGTAGAGGGGTGGGTGTGGCTTCCCCAGCCTCTAAGGCCCTTGCAGAGCCAGAGAGCAGAGCAAGGCGCTGTCCAGAACTGCAGCCTTTGCCAGGGTCAAGAGTGCCAAGGGGCCATTCTCAACTTCTCTTGCTAGGGTCTGGACAGGGAGGGGAAGGCCTGCTTCCTCTTTCAGACTCCCTTGGGGTCCCAGCACCGGGGGGAGCAGTGGTGATGGCAACAGGGAGGGGCCTGTGGTACAGGTAGGCTTGCTGGGGTTCCTTGGGAGTCAGGGGATGCTCGAGGTTGGCTCTGGGGTCCTTTGTTCCCATAGGGAGACTGTGGCCTGCATCTACCCTGAAAGAAAGTCATTCTGCTGGAGTCCCCAGTGTGGTAAGATGTTGTCCCCACAAGCCAAACTGCATACCACACAGCTACTTCCTGTAGAATCCACCATTCTGATGTCCAGCTCCGTGTCCTTCTGTGACCTCCAGGTGAGCTTTGAAAGGGTACACAGTCCGTAGGGATGGGGTGAGGTCCACTGGGAGCTTCTGGCAGGGCTCTGAGGGTGTGGAACAAGCATGGGCACCTGCATGGTGCTCAGGACCTGCCCCTGGAGACGTCAGTGCCTGTGCTTGGAGCCACGCCGCCTGGCTCATCCCTCTCCAGCTGTGCAAACTTGGGTAAGATGTGGCGATTCTTAGTCCTCTCACAGAAAAAGAGGCACCTACTTTGTAAGTCATCATGAGAAGAGAATTAAATGAGTTACTTCATGAGAGGTGCCTGGAACATTCCATGGTTCTTAGTATGTGTTCAATGTTATTGTCAGGATTTGGCCATGAGGTGACATTTATCTTTGTACCCATTCTGGGTCAGAATTCTACCATGTTTATACTTGTGGGACCTAAACAGTGAATCATTGCCGAGGGGACTCCCCTTGAATGTACGTGTACTTTATCTGGGACTTTGTATTTTAACACCTTTGTTGAGCAGTATTTCATATGCCTATACACGTCGTATTTGGACAGTAGAAAATATTCTGAATCTGGAATCCTGGCTAAGATTGAAATAACAAGACCATTATTGGACATTCAAATCTAAAACTAGGATTTCTTTAATACATCATCTCCCATAGTTAAAACAATGTCTATTTTGATATATAGTTGCATTTTCAAAAGTAAATATGAATTATACAGCCCGCACCAGCTTGACTTAAAAATTTTGCAAGAATTTGATCATTTTGACTTACTTCACTCCCATGAAGATGCTCAATTAATCCTGAGTGTGCAGCAGAGTGACTTGAGACCACCTTTTGGATGACTGGTTACTAGGGACCAGGCAAGGCTACTGTGAAACACACCAGATTTTCCTTTGGAAATGTGTATGTTGATTTTCTTAAGCTGCTTCTGCTTCTGGCACTGGCTTCCCAGCTCCCTGTTGACCAGACCCAACCCTGCTGGGCCTTGTTGTTCCAGGTTTTCTCATTAGCACAACGCGGCTGCCCTCTTTAGCTTGTTCACTGTCTGTTCCTCCTGGGCTGAGGCATAGTATTCTCAGTTCCCACAGGTAGCACAGTGTTTTTGCAGAATGCCATTTCTCACTCTCTCTACTAATTCATGTTGGGTTAACAGCTCTCAGGAAGATCTAAAAGCAGCTGTTTTTTTGAGGGGAAACCCCCACAAAACGTCTTACAA